ATTCAGTTTAGTGTATTTTAGTATAGCAGCCTGAGTAGACTAAAACAGTCATGAGTAACTTACACTTTTCCAGCCTTAGCTAAACAAATTTGAAGTAAGATATGATGGTGTTTTATGGATTCCACACAAGGGGGCCTTCTGTCAATAACAAGACATCCTTAGTAGAGAAAAACTAAATTTTGTGAGATGCCAAAACTGAGAGGAGTTACCAGCTGCAAGTTAGAGACAGCATCCCCTATGCTTTGGGGGATGCCAACAAACCCACAAAAACTCTCTGTGAAAGATGCTCAGCAACGGTAGTGCCCTGACACCAGATGACAAATGTTCTAGGAGCACAGGACTGTCAGCTTTCCACTGTCTCCCAAAAGTAATTTTCAGATCATCAGAAAAATATTGGCAAGGTAACTACATTTTTTTAAAACTCTGGGTTCTGAGTGGAATTTTGGCAAAACAAATTTACATTCACTTATAAACCATCAAACAATTAATAATAGAGTATTATTTAGGTCATAAAAAGATTCTTCTCCCTGAATTCATAACCAAATCTATTCTGCTTTAAGAAAGATGATTTATTTAAAAGATGAAACCAGTTGTCCATTTCTCCCTCTAGTTATTCCCCCAAGAAATGTATCCCACTTTAGAATCCAAATTCTACCTTCGTAAACAAAGATTCACCTGAATTCCTATACATTGCCAGTGCCACCCCAATTCACGAGGCAATAACAAGGTTAAGTAAGAAAACTGGGAAATCTATTCTTGGCTGACCTGGTCATTCTTTGAATCAGTCTTTTCTCTCCCCAGAATTCATAGCACATGTGGTCATCCTGCAGAACCCTGGCCTCACATGCCCCAGCCACCCATGACCATGTACTGTCTCTTTAGATATTTCTTTCCTGGTTTCTGTGCTGCTTGAGTAGCCCAAAGATTATCAAAGAAGCATAATTCATGACAACTCTGCATTCCTACTTTTAAAAGTTAGGGGAAGTCAGGGAGATGATGGTGGCATAGGTAATAAAGGGAAAACTGAGTTTCAAATGTTTGGCAATAATGCATTTATCTATTTTGCTACTTGCTTTTTCATTCTCTTGGTAGAAAAAAGTATTTTGTTGTTGTTGTTGTTTTTTCTCTTGTACTTTCTTCCGTTTTCATTCTATAAATAAGACTGTTGAAATTATTATTGCTTCATATATCCTTGTCATTTCACAGGGAAGGCTTGATTTAAACTGTGCATTTTAGGTTTGTAACAAAGGATCAAATTTGGATGTTTCACATTTTAAATGATTTATTGGGTTAAAAGCACTAAGTAATTGATTCTGAACTAAACTCCTTTTAGCCTAAGTGTATCTTTTAAAAAGTGAAGTCTATCAAGGATAGGCATTGTAGCGTTTTGACATTTAATGACAGTCTTATAAATTACATCAGTGTCTTGATTTTTTTTTTTTTTTTTTTTAGTTTCTGTAGCAAGTATAAGTTTTTCAGAAAGTAATGTGCCTTGGTAATAGTCTTAAATTTTCCCAGTGCTTTAAATTTTTTCTTTCATTTTATTAGAACTATGTTATAGCCTGGCATGGTGGTGCACACCTGTAATCCCAGCTGTTTGGAAGGCTGAGGCAGGAGAATCACAAGTTCATCCAGTCTCAACAACTTAGCAAGGCCCTAAGCAACTTAGAGAGACCCTGTTTCAAAATATAAATATAAAATAAAAAGGGCTGGGGATGTGGTTCAGTGGTTGAGTACCTCTGGGTTCTATCCCTGGTACAAACAAAACAAAACAAGAAAAACAGCAAGATCAAAAACCTATGCTGTAAAGTCAGCATAGCACATATTTGATTTTAACAAATTACAAAAGTAAGACAGAGAAAAGGAGGAGTTGAATCATTTGTGGGAAAATATGCTATCATTTTAAAAGTCCAGTTAGAATTGTAAACTGAGTCTTTTTTCCAGAGGTTTTGCAACTTGATTATTTTTTCCTTTTTGCTCTCATCTAAATTCTTTTTTTCTCAAACTTAAATAGACTTACCCTTCTGTTTTCTTAAGCAAAATAATTTATTTTCTTTTCCCTTAAAACTTCTCTGTGTTGGGAAGATAAAGTAGAAAAAAATATGTGAGGAGATATTTGAGTTGAAGGCCTATTGGTACTTTTTGCTACATTAACAGAAAGTATATTACTTTTAAAGTTGTAAATAATTGTTATGAAATTAATAATTTTGCTCTTGAAGAATTTTTTTCTAACTGGCTATATAGTTTTAAAAAGAACAGTTTTGAGTCTTTTACTACTGTTAAAAAAAGTGGAAAGTAGTGATAATATTTTATGTAGCATGGTTTTCATCTTTCATTTTTACTTCTATTTTTTAAGCCTCTCTTCGGTTCTCAGAATATACTAATTACTCCCTTTTTACAAATAGATAAATTAAGGCAGATAAGATCTAAGCCATTTTTCTAAAGAGTCACCGTTTGCCATTGTTCTTATGTTGGCAAAACCCTGGGCCTCTGTTATAACATGCTATAGAAAATGTTGCCTTTAGTTACCTCCTACCTGTGTCTACTCAGTCTAAAGCACACAGACATTTGGAAAAATAGCATGTGAAAATATGAAGTTTCAGACACATTGATTCTTTAAAAAATTTATTATTATTTTTTTTTTTTTGGTACAAGAAACTGAACCCAGAGGTGCTTAACCACTAAGCCACATCCTCAGTCCTTTTAAATTTTTTATTTCATTGTCTCACTGAGTTGCTTAGAGCCTCTCTAAGTTGTTGAGGCTGACATTGAACTTGGGATCCTACTGCCTCAGTTCTCCCGAGTCACTGGGATTACAAATATAAGCCCAGATAGATTTGTTTTTTTACTATTCACAATTCCAGAGTGTCTTATAATATTTTTAATTAAATAGCAGTATATAGTTTTACTTTGCTGATAGACAAGCATAACTTTGGATTGTGTATCTTTTTTTTTTTTTTTTTTTTTTAACCCGGAGACACTTAACCACTGAGTAACATCCCCAGCCCTTTTTACATGATATGTAGAGACACGGTCTTGCTATGTTGCTTAAATCCTAGCTAAATTGCTGAGGCTGGCTTTGAACTTGCTATCCTCCTAAGCCACTGGGATTACAGGTATGCACCAATGTGCCTGGCTTTGGATTATGTATCTTTTTAATGGTTAAAAAGACATTTGCAATTAAAACTCAAAAAAGATGTTTTATGTAACATCCTCATTTTTTTTATATCCATCTTTTTTTGTTGTCATTTGGCGTTTTAGGAGACCCATACTCAACACCAGTCAAGGCCTAAAGGTTCAGGGAAGGCCTGCATTTACAAGACTTGACTTAAGAGAGCTGGAAGCATGGTAGACAAACTAGTAGTATTCTCTTAGTTTTAATGAATTCATGAACAAAATATCTATTCTTTCTAGAACCTTTCCAAATAGCTTCTATCAGTAATGATTCTATACACATACAGGAGGTTGATTTTAAACCTTTCTGTTTATCTTCCTAAAATCAAAGAGGCAGATTGATATAATGGACCTGCCCACCAGAGTGCAGTATTTCAAAAAGTCTCCATTCAGGCCATCCTAGGGGGTTGGCTCAGTGCCATCCTGCCCCTGTGTCTAAGCCCAAGCCATCATCTCCAGTGGTGAAGGTAACCCTCAGGTCAAGGAAGTCAGGGACTGCAAAATCATTTGCCTCGCTGAGCTGCATGTTGACCTGAGGGTTGGTTAGTTTGTTCACTGTAGACATTTCTGTGATCATATTTTCACCTACTCTCTAAAAGACCATGGTCCCGAGTGCCATTCTTTTTCTTAAAGCACCTCCCTTAAGCAGGTTACCTTCAATAGAAACTGCAACCTCCTTAACACCTGAGGCTTTTTACCACCTAATTCCTGACTACGTGTCCAGCACATGCTCACCACCTTGCTCTGGAAGCTCCAGCAACAATGATCCAGATGTAATTTCCTACCAGTTCATCATATCATTCCATTCCCTTGGCAGGAATTCTTTTGCTTTCTCCCCTTCTCATCAGGTTGTCTCCTACTGAATATTCTAGACTTAGCTTAGACATCACTTCTACCAAGAACCTTACCAGAGCTCTTTCTGTCATTATCTGTGTCATTCTGTAAATTTTTTTGAAAAATGGATTTTTAGAGAGAGAGAATTCACATACCATACAATATACCCATTGAAAGCATATAACTCAGGGGATTTTATGGTTTTCTTTTCACAGTGTGGTGTAATGTAGAGGCATCACCACAATGTTAGAACATTTTCATTACCTCAGAATGAAACTCTTAACCTTTTTTGGTCTCACCTTCCTGTACCTTAGTCCTCTTCCAAGTCCCATCTGTCTACTTTCCATCTTTTAAAGATCCCCCTATTCTGGTCTTTCATATGAATAGCATTATATAACACATGGAATTTTGTGACTTTTTTTTTTCACTGAGCACAATATTTTCAACGTCTGTCAAGTTGTAGCATGTGTCAGTATTGAGCTTCTCTTTATGCCTAAATGATACTCCATAGTGCTGACATTACATTTTTTTAATCCATGCGTCTGATGATGAATATTTGGGTATTTCCCACCTTTTGGTCATAATGAGCAATGCTACTCTGAATAGTCATGTAGAAGTGTTTGTATGGACATATGCTTTAATTTCTCTTGGGTAGATACTTAGGAGTAGACTTGCTGGATCATATGACCACTCTGTGTTTAATTGTTTGAGTCATTTCCAGATGTTTCCTGACAATTTTGTCATTTGATATTCCCATCAGCAGTGTATAAAGGTTCAAGTTTCTTCACATTCTCATGACAGTTACTATAGTCTTTTTTTATTTTAGCCATCCTAGTAGGTGCCAAGAGTTATCTCTTTGTGGTTTTCACCTCCTTTAGTTTTTTTTCCCCATATGTGTTTCCTTAGCATTCATATTGTGCTCCCTAGTATGCAGTAGGCACTCAAATGTTGATTGAAATGGATGGAATGCATTTTTGATATTTTTATTTCAGCAAATGCCCAGCAGGCACCTGTGATGGATGTGCATTCTATTTCTTATGGGAGAGTGCTGAAGCTTGCCCTCTGTGCACCGAGCATGACTTCCATGAGATTGAGGGAGCCTGCAAACGAGGATTTCAGGTAAGGACCAAACCAATCTATAGATATCATTGACAAATGACAACTTATTGCTGAGTTCTCCATTATGCCAATGAAAGGAATGGATTTCTTTGGATGTTCCAGCTTCATGATTAAAAAAAAAACAGTTATTGAAAAATATTACAGTGAGTATCTTTTAATTTTTAATCATCTTACTATTTCAGTTCTGTCCTTTATTACTTTTCACTTTATGTTGACCACTTTATGCACTTCCCCAGTTTTACAACTTTATCAAATGCAGATGAAAATAAAGTTAAATTTATGCAATCTAAGTCCTGCCTGTATAGCTGATATGAACAAAAAGAGCTTTACAGCTTGTGATAAGAGTGCTCTTATCAAATTGGATCTCAAAAATCTATCCCAGGTTCTAAGTGTGTATTAAGCATTGCAGCTAAAGTCATGCAGAGTAAAGATTTGAGTGATACCATGTTAGCTCTGAGAGAAATATTTTTAGATTTATCATCAAATTTATCTTAATCCTGTTCAAAGTATATCCCTACATGTTGGAAGAATAAATCTTTTGGCTGCAGTGTCAGCTATTTTTGTTTTCCAATGCTATGTGATTAGATAAAGGGACAAAGTTTCTAATTAATAGTTACAGAATGACTAAAACATTTTGTCAATTGCTCGAGGTTTTTTTTTTTCTTTGTATTTAATGAGTTGATTAAGATGTTAAGCACTGGTTTTACAAGTGTCTTTAATTTTGAAGCTTTAAGATGTGTAAGTCTGCCACTAGACATTAGAGCTTGCCATTTTCATTGAACGTTATACATTTTATAAAACCATATAAACTCTGGCACAATCTTTTTTTCTTGGTAGAATGCACTTCAAATGTAGTCGGTGTTTGCTCCCTAGAGTTTACAGTTTTCTCTGTATTGTCTTGATTTACATTTAGAGATGCAGCAGCAAAATTTGAATATACTCCTGCATTTCACTTCATCATTCTTATAAAAATGTAACCTATTTAAAAATAATTTACTTGGTCTATGCTTAATGAAAATATCACAGGTATCATCTATTTAAAAAAAAAAAACCCCTCAATCACTAATATTCTAAAACACAGGCAGAAAGTTCTTATTCAAACCTTTATTGAAACTTTTCCTCAAAGTAAAAAAGATTCTTCTGCATATCACTTCATGGCTTACTGCAAAAATATGCTTATCCACATAAGACATAAAAGTAAAAATTATGGTGTTATTCTTATGTTAAAGTGTGGATAAAGTAATCATCATGTGCCATACAATTTAAGGAGGCACAATAATGTCCTATGTCATTTAATGTCATTGAATATAATCATACAAATTGCTACTGGTAAGTGGTACATGTTGAACTATGTAAGCAACCATGCCCTGAACTCTGATTTTCATTTTTGATATGCCTTATTTGGTCTACTTATTTCAAAAGTTCCTGGTTGAGATCTAGTATATTGCTTTTATTATTCAGTGGCTAGGTGCAACTTGCTATATGGGAAACATTGTTCTAAAGGAATTAAGTCACCTACTTTGGGAGGTCAAGAGTACCAGGTGTGGGAAGGGGTGACCCAGAGTAATGCCCTACTTATTTTGACACACAGCAGAAGGGTGTAGTCTGTGTGCCTATTGTCATACCATCTACCAAGTCTGCCAGCCATGGTGCAAATACATGCCCTGGGCCTGGGGTCTCTTCTGTTTAAGGGAGAGACTTGTTGGACTTATGTGCCTAAGTGGTGGGAGAGTAAAATTCCTTCTAATTAATTATATTAAACAACTAAAGTTTTCATTTAAAAGCAAAATTAAGATGTCAATGTCATTGAAATTTGAGGAAAATGGCCTAAAGATGTGTCTAGATGAATTCATTTTCAACATGTAGTACACCCTTCTGATATGACAATTCATGTCTTTATTTAGTTTTTACATTTCCTTTTGTTATTTTATTCGCTTTATTCTTTATCTCTTCCTTCTCTGGAGCTAAGTTTAATATGAATGAAGGATTAATAAATTCTTCTACATGAGAATTGACCCAATAACCCATCTAGCTTTCAAAACTGAATCTGAATCTTATTTCTTCTCTCATCTCTGTTTCAATTTACTTATTTTAAAAGGAAACCTTATATGTCTGGAATGAACCTAAATGGTGCATTAAAGGAATTTCTTTGCCTGAGAAAAAGCTGTCTACCTGTGAAACAGTTGACTTTTGGCTAAAAGTAGGAGCAGGCGTGGGAGCTTTCACAGCCGTTTTGCTGGTGGCTCTAACATGCTACTTCTGGAAGAAGAATCAAAAGTAAGTATCCTCATTGCATGATCATGTAAGAACTCTAGGGTCTGTTTGTGTTGTGAAATTTTTAGAATTAATCATTAAATCTGTACATTATCTCAGAGATACGTTTCTTCTAGTGAAGTGGTTATTTCTACTCTGACAGTAGAAATATCATAGAACATTAAAGTTCACTGAATTAGAGTCTCTTATTAAAAAGAAATAGAAAAATGGAGGCTTCAGGTTATCCAGGTGACTGTAACAGAGCTGAGATTTGAAGGTAGAATTTCCCTTTGAGTCTGTTTTTTTTTTTTTTTTTTTTTTTGTTTTATGACATCATGCTGTCTTCTTGCTGCACTTTTAAAATTTCTTGTGGGTGGATATTTGCAAAGAAACTGACTAAGTATATAGGCAAATATCACATTTATTTACCCCACGTCTCCAAGAGTCTGGGATTGAATATTGATTCTAACCCCTGAATGCATATTGATCTGTTATACAACTTGAATCTTTTTCAATGATTTACATCTCAGTGGGCTATAGAAAAATCTGTATTCTAACATCTAGGGTCAACCTTAATATCTGAGATGCTAAGTTAAGCATAAAGGTGTGAATGATATAGGGAGACAGTAAGTATCAACTCATTTGCCTGTTTGATATTTTCATGCTTATGAACTAAACTTTGGAAAACGTGATACTGAATTGTCATGAGCAAATTAATAAATTAAGGAAATGTATTCAGACCTCAAGATTTTTCTTTGTTTTTCAAATGTTATTCATAACCAGACACTTCAGTCAATTTAAAGTAAGTGGTAGAATTAACTGTGTTGAACTGATTCTCTGACATTCTGTGAAGTATTTTTTATGTACATGGTTGATAAAAGAGAACACGTAAAGCCATGACTTTAGGTGAGGGAAATTTGTTGATAGTACAAGAAGACAATTTAATGAGCTGCTATATAAACACATACAGTAAGTATTAATTTATTATTGATGTAAATGGCTACTTTATTTATTTATTTGCTTGTTTTATTTACTACCACTTAGACTGGAGTACAAATATTCCAAATTAGTAATGACAACTAACTCAAAAGAGTGTGAACTCCCGGCTGCAGACAGTTGTGCTATAATGGAAGGAGAAGATAATGAAGAGGAAGTTGTATATTCAAATAAACAGTCTCTACTGGGAAAACTCAAATCTTTGGCAACAAAGGTGAGAGTAGAATTTTAGACTGGAATTACTGAGCATTTATAAGTTGGGGCCGTATTAGCTTAATAGCATTCAAGCAAAGTTCTGTCATTCAGCATGTTTATCTCTCAGTGGCTATGTATCCAACAGAAACACTCTTAGAAGTACATGATGTAAATACAAAAATATTCACTGCAGGACTGTTTTTACTATTCAACAGAGTAGAATCAACTTTATGTACCATCAATAAGGAGTTAGATGAGAAATTTTTATATATCAAAGTAATGGAATACTTTATGGCTCTGTGGCTGTTAAAAATTGAGATGTTTATGTTTTCTGATAGTCAGTAGATCCAGGATAAAGTAAAAACAACAAGTAGACTATCATATTTCTATTAAACATATATTTATGTTACTATTCACATAATAAACATAATAACAGTAGCTGCTTTTTGAGAATAGGGAAATAATGAGAGTACATCGTCTTTGAAGTAGTACCTTTTTGCAATATTTGAATTTTCACAAAGATAATGTGTTATCTTATAATTTTAAAAAACAAAATGTTAGGTTAATAAAAGATCTCATCTGTGTTCATTTCTGTGTTTATTTTATAACAAAGTTAATTTACATGGAGAAAACAGAAGTTATATAAGCTGTTGAGGTGTTTAGGATACCATCATATTTTTCTGATTTGAAATGACTATTGTATCTAAACATAATGTGAAACCTTAAATATTATGTGAAAACACATTTTATTGGCATTCTTCACCCTTGACTTAAGAGATGTAAATGGCCAATTTAACCACTCAAGATTAAAAATTAGAATGAACCAGAAGAAAGCAAATACATTTTGAATGATTTTTCAGGAGGACAGACAAAACACATAAGATTACATTTATAGAGTATTTAGAGTAACTATCTTCTTTTTATTATTCTAATTTAGGCACACAAACATAGGGGATTATCTAACAGTATAATAAATAAGCCATTTTCCCTTTCTACAAATGGTTATTTAATTTTAATTTTTTATATGGGAGTTTAGGGAAGGTACTATTGCTATGGAATAATAAATACACAGTGATTGCCAAGAACTGAAAATTTTACCATACTTGTAAACTAACAAGTGACTTTCATGAATACTTAAGAAGTCACAAGACTCCTGGGTAGAGACAAAAGACAGTTTAGTACTCACAGAGAGATACTAGACAGAGATATCAGTTTCCAAAGTGCCAGTTCCCACAAGGCTGTTTGCAGAGGAAATGATAATACTTGGTTCAATTACAGGAAAGAAACCCAAAGCTTTGGAAATCTGAATTTTCAGAAAGGGAAGTAAGTAAGTATGCCCATCCTTTGTCCCAGTAGGAGTTATTACCTTTATTGTACTTAGACAGGTAGCGAGCCTGCCCTTTACTCTGAAAGGAGACAATATTTGTATCTTCTGAGACATTTTTTTAAATACAAAGAGTCTGAAAATACAGTATAAAACAAAAGGAAATCAGTGTCTTGCTCATAAGATGTGCAGAAATGCAAGAAACCATGGAGAATTATCTCCTAACAAAATACAAACCTCATTTCTCTACCATCTTGGCTTCTGATGAATTTTCGCTTTAGTATGGAAACTCCATGTAGTATTCTGATTAGCATGACTGATGGAGGCCAAATCTGGTCAATTTACTTCAAACAGCATTTAAATGAAGCTAATATCAATGGGACATCACGAAGCAAGAAGAAGCCAACTTGAATTATTAACCTTGTTCATACCCACAGGGTCCCAGACCTGATTAGCTGAACAAATGCCATAAACCTTTAGGGTCCAGGTTAGAAAGCTAGGTAGCTTTCTCCTTGAAAGAAGAGTTGACCTTTCTACTCTTGGGTTGACCTTTCTACTTAGCCTGAAACCTTTCGACTGTCACCAAGTAGTTTCTACCATAAGATTCATATGGAAGGGGCTGGGGTTGTGACTCAGCGGTAGAGTGCTCACCTATAGTGTGTGAGGCCCTGGGTTTGATCCTCAACACCACATAAAAATAAATAAATAAAGGTGTTATGTCCATTTATAACTAAAAAAATATTTTAAAAAAAGATTCAGGTGGAAGAAAGATGGAAATTTCAAAAATAAGAGAACCCAGTATACTTCCCATGTTTGCCTACATGGGCCCTGTCAGGGGATTCAGTGAGCAGCTTACTCAACTAAGTGGTAATTATCCTCTTGATCTGGAATCATAGGAATCCAACAAGACAATTCAAGTATATCAGTGCAGGTACAACAGGATATATTAATGACTGCACAGATTTTTGTTTCAGGTCATCAAGGAGGAGGTATAAGGTAATTATATTGTCTATAACAACATATGGAGAATGAGTTAATGTTGCCCTAAATGCCTTCAATGGATGAGGTGATATAATTGATTATTTTTGCCAAAGTTAGGGATGAATTTCATACCCCCTTTTCTAATTGAACAACTGCCCATTCAATGAGTGTAAGTAATATTATTCACTCATTTTAGAAAGATTTTTACAGTTATCTAGGGGTTACATGATTTATTGTGGGTGTTTCTCTAAAGATGAAAATTTGATATGACTATTTCTAAGTTACAAGCCACTATATTTTTAGGCTAAAATAAGGTAATGCCTGGTTTCCACATAAGAAGTACAATCCTGGAGGTGTGCATGCTGCCTCTGGTAGGAAAGTTGTATTTATAAATGCTGGGGAACTTAAATCAATCCAGCAGCATAGGTTGGCAGTGCCTGAAATATAAACTTGCTGAATAATAAACTTTAGGGTTTTCAGTTCATCCCAAATAAATGTGTCTATTATCAATCAGGAGACTGCCTAAGGTTAACTTTTCCTGCTTGTCCATACTATAAATGGGTATCACATTTGTCTATCCCATGTGATGACTGAGTGAAGGCTATGGGATTGGAGGTGTTGATTGATGTTATTCTGGAGCAGAAGCTGGGGCCATCTCCTGCTACATCTGATAGATTTATTAGTAAGCTAGCTTACAAATAATGGCAGTCCAATTGTGATTAGAGCATATGGTGGGTATGGCAGATCCTGAAGTCAGTTAAATTAAAGGTCTTTGCAACAATTTGAGAGAGCCACATATGGACATTTTTCTTTGCAGCACAGTGACAAGATGGCTCTGAAAAACAGATTATTGCTAGTGTCACTCCTTCCTCATCCCTTTCAATATCTAAGGCATCGCCTTCCAAGTGCCCCATTATCAGACTACATTGTTATCTCCATCCACTGCCACCGTCCCATTTCTGTTGTTACAGATTCACCTTATTTCTGCTCATCCTCCACTGACACCTAGATTTATCTTCCAGAACATTCAGGTGCAAGAAGGACAAAGACATTTAAAAAAAAAACTTTGGAGACCTAGTGTGTGTCCCACTTTTATTCATGTGGGCCTTAATAGGGAGGCTGCTTAAGCAATATAATCTATAATTTGTCATTATCTTTTTGATCTAGAATCATAAAAATTCAACAAGACAAAATATAAGTGGTGGTTAATTATAATTATATTCAAACCTTCTAGGCTCCCTTCGGACTAGGGCTACCTCTAGAGGTTGTACAGCAATCCCTATACTGCCTGACTAGGGCTACCTCTAGGGTACAACTTCTAGAGGTAGCCCTAGTCAGGCAGTATAGGGATTGCTGTTGAAATAAACTTTATACAGTTTTGTTTCAAGGCAAAAATAATAAGGTTAGAGTTAACTGATTAGTGGTGAAGCACAACCAGTAGTCCAAAAAGTGGTCAAAGATATGATATAATCAATTACCCAAGAAAAAACTGATCAAATTTTGGATTCTTAAGTCTGGTAAGCTGTGGTGCCCTCTATCAAAAA